TCCTAACATAAAACATGTTGATACATGTACATACTCCTAACATAAAACATGTCGATACAGGTACATACTCCTAACATCAAACATGACGATACATGTACACCCTCCTAACATCAAACATGACGATACATGTAAACACTCCTAACATCAAACATGTCGATACATGTACATACTACTAACATCAAACATGTTGATACATGTACATACTCCTACCATAAAACATGTCGATACATGTACATACTACTAACATAAAACATGTCGATACATGTACGTACTCCTAACATAAAACATGTCGATACGTGTACATACTCCTAACATAAAACATGTTGATCCATGTACATACTCCTAACATAAAACATGTTGATACACGTACATACTCCTAACATAAAACATGTCGCTACATGTTCATACTCCTAACATCAAACATGACGATACATGTAAACACTCCTAACATCAAACATGTCGATACATGTACATCCTCCTAACATCAAACATGTTGATACATGTTGTACACACTCCTAACATAAAACATGTCGATACAGGTACATACTCCTAACATCAAACATGACGATACATGTACATACTCCTAACATCAGACATGTTGATACATGTACATACTCCTACCATAAAACATGTCGATACATGTACATACCCCTAACATAAAACATGTCGATACATGTACCCACTCCTAACATAAAACATGTCGATACACGTACATACTCCTAACATAAAACATGTCAATACATGTACATACTCCTAACATAAAACATGACGATACATGTACATCCTCCTAACATCAAACATGACGATACATGTAAACACTCCTAACATCAAACATGTCGATACATGCACATACTCCTAACATCAAACATGACGATACGTGTACACACTCCTAACATCAAACATGTCGATACATGCACATACTCCTAACATAAAACATGTCGATAGATGTACATACTCCTAACATAAAACATGTTGATACATGTTCATACTCCTAACATAAAACATGTCGATACGTGTACATACTCCTAACATAAAACATGTCTATACATGTACATACTCCTAACATCAAACATCTCGATACATGTACATACTCCTAACATCAGACATGTTGATACATGTACATACTCCTACCATAAAACATGTCGATACATGTACATACACCTAACATAAAACATGTCGATACATGTTCATACTCCTAACATAAAACATGTCGATACGTGTACATACTCCTAACATAAAACATGTCGCTACATGTTCATACTCCTAACATCAAACATGTCGATACATGTTCATACTCCTAACATCAAACATGTCGATACATGCACATACTCCTAACATAAAACATGTCGATACAGGTACATACTCCTAACATCAAACATGACGATGCATGTACATACTCCTAACATCAAACATGTCGATACATGCACATACTCCTAACATAAAACATGTCGATACGTGTACATACTCCTAACATAAAACATGTCGCTACATGTTCATACTCCTAACATCAAACATGTCGATACACGTACATACTCCTAACATAAAACATGTCGGTACATGTACATACTCCTAACATAAAACGTGTCGATACATGTACATACTCCTAACATAAATCATGTCGATACATGTACATACTCCTCACATAAAACATGTCGATACATGTACATCCTCCTAACATCAAACATGTTGATACATGTACATACCCCTAACATAAAACATGTCGATACATGTACGTACTCCTAACATAAAACATGTCGATACGTGTACATACTCCTAACATAAAACATGTTGATCCATGTACATACTCCTAACATAAAACATATCGATACATGTACATACTCCTAACATAGAACATGTCGATACATGTACACACTCCTAACATCAAACATGACGATACATGTACACCCTCCTAACATCAAACATGACGATACATGTAAACACTCCTAACATCAAACATGTCGATACACGTACATACTCCTAACATAAAACATGTCGATAAATGTACATACTCCTAACATCAAACATGTCGATACATGTACATACTCCTAACATCAAACATGTTGATACATGTACATACTCCTAACATAAAACATGTCGATACATGTTCATACTCCTAACATCAAACATGACGATACATGTACACACTCCTAACATCAAACATCATGTATCGACATGTTTCATGTTAGGAGTATGTACCTGTATCGACATGTTTGAGGTTAGGAGTGTGTACATGTATTGCCATGTTTGATGTTAGGAGTGTTCACATGTATTGACATGTTTTACGTTAGGAGTATGTACATGCTCTCAAGAGAAGATAACTCGGCAATACGCAAAGACGGAATACATAACGGTGATACACTGTAACAGCATATGATTCATTTATGCAACTTATTGGCAAAGCTTACAAACAAAATTAACAGTATACTCCTAACATCAAATATGTTGATACATGTACATTCTCCTAACATAAAACATTTCGATACATGTACACACTGCTAACATCAAACATGTCGATCCATGTACATACTCCTAATATAAAACATGTCGATACAGGTACATACACCTAACATCAAACATGATGATACAGGTACACACTCCTAACATCAAACATCATGTATCGACATGTTTATGTTAGGAGTATGTATATGTATCGACATGTTTGAGGTTAGGAGTGTGTACATGTATCGAAATGTTTGATGTTAGGAGTGTGTACATGTATAGACATGTTTGATGTTAGCAGTGTGTACATGTATCGACATGATTAATGTTAGGAGTGTGTACATGTATCGAAATGTTTGATGTTAGGAGGGTGTACATGTATCGCCATGTTTTATGTTAGGACTATGTACATGTATCGACATGATTTATGTTAGGAGTATGAACATGTATCAACATGTTTGATGTTAGGAGTGGGTACATGTATCGACATGATTTTTGGTGGGAGTGTGTATATGTATTGACATGTTTTACGTTAGGAGTATGTACATGCTCTCAAGAGAAGATAACTCGGCAATACGCAAAGACGGAATACATAACGGTGATACACTGTAACAGCATATGATTCATTTATGCAACTTATTGGCAAAGCTTACAAACAAAATTAACAGTAAAACCCTTGTTTGTCTACTGGACACATATCCGGAATAAATTCCTACATACCTAACATCAAACATGTCGATCCATGTACATACTCCTAACGTAAAACATGTCAATACATGTACATACTCCAAACATAAAACATGTCGATACATGTACATACTCCTAACATAAAAGATACTATGAAAAACATTGCATAAGAAATTGTCATAAACACAGCATGACTCAATATCAGCAATTATCATAAAATTGTGAATCGTTCCTGAAATACATATACAATATATATCACAACTTCACTAGATCATCTCAGGAAAAAAAAGTTTAATCCAGAAACCATAAAGTAGCACATGAAATCCTGTTATCAGGGAAAAAATTCAGTTTGATTTGTCAGGTTTGTTTGTGCTTTACGTTCTATTAACAGCTACGTTCATTTAATGACGTGTAAATGTTTGGTGGTTGAGGACACAACCGACTTGCAGCCAGTACCTGTCAACTGCCTCCTGTAGGCCTCGACCCTCAGACAATATTTTTTATGGGTTAATTCAGCTAAGGTTAGCATCACCACATTTCCAAAAGATTGGCAACTTTCTGACCTCTATTATTCCCACATTTCTATTGTTTTATCTCACTGAATCACAACATTAACTTAGACACTAGACCACATAAAGTAACAAACACGACAGTTGTTATCCTACGTGATCTACTGACATCAGAAAGTGTTCCCCTCTGGCTTGTTATATTTGATATTACCTTGGAAATTGTTGCAACATTAATTAACAGTTTGGACACTAACTCACACAGGTGAATTTTAAATAAAGGACTTTGAATTATTTTAAAATAACAGGTACACATACTCAGAAACATATGAATAATCTTTGTTTTTATATTGATAAGTACATGTATAGATATTTATTCAATTGCCATTCAAGTTGGGAAAATATAATTTAAATAAATATGCAACAAATAAAATCAATATTTTCAGAAAAGAACAAAAGTTGTATTTCTGCAATATCAATCTTAAGAAAAAATTGGAAAAAAAAACTAATACAAGAAAAACAACGTTCGTTAACAAGACTCGGTTAGTTGTAGTTTTCTACGCTTTTGTTTTACATACAAACAAGAATCACCAAATATAAGAAGCCACAGGATATGTCAAACCTACAAATGGTAGTTATAAGCATCAATTTCAAATTATCAACTATTTTTAAAATATATATATATTCATGAATTTACTTCATAAAATAATGATCTAATTAACTAAATTTTTAAAAGGCATCAGATAGATGCAGACTACAGATTGATTTTTTTCATAATTAGATTAAAATTTTCAGACAAAAATCTTATTGTATCCCTAATTAAAAATCCACAGCTGAAAGGTTGAACAAGTACATACAATATTACTGTCTACAGGAACATTCCATATCACAAACGATATTACTATTCTACAGGAACATTCTATATTACAAATGATATTACTATTCTACTGGAACATTCTATATTACAAACAATATTACAAGTCTAAGATATTTATTGTGTACTTCATAAAAACAATTCTAATAACAATTCTAAAAATCACATGTACATACAACTATGAATTACATTCAATCCTTAATAATATCTAGTTTACTTCACAACTACATAATTTCATCATTACCAATAATGATTCGTACAATATAAATTGCATCAATATCTTTTTGAATTTTGTTTCATAATTATGTAATTGAAAAGAAAAAAGGTACAAAACTTGAAATCAATGAAGTATATGTATGTGAAAAGATCAACAGGATATTCCGTCATTGCGTATTGCAGAGTTATCTTCTCTTGAGAGCAGGTATTGATTGTTACGTCATTTGTTTGTGAGAGTAACGTCATTAATTTTTGAGAAAAATGCGATATTTTCTCACACGAACCAATGACGTAACAATCAATACCTGCTCTCAAGAGAAGATAACTCTGCAATACGCAAAGACGGAATACATAACGGTGATACACTGTAACAGCATATGATTCATTTATGCAACTTATTGGCAAAGCTTACAAACAAAATTAACAGTAAAACCCTTGTTTGTCTACTGGACACATATCCGGAATAAATTCCTACATACCTTTATTGGACCAGTAATGTCCATGATCAGTATACAAGTCGTTTCTGATATTCAGTTTTTTTCTGCAAACAGCCAGGTTTAAATTCAAGAAAAATCGTCCAACTTCCGTTATACTACTGTATTTATCCGACAATAAGCCCATGCCTGGTAATAAACTTATTACCCATATCTAATGTATTTCAGTAGAGATGCCAAGATATTCTGTTGTTCTGAAATAAGTCCACCTTCCTCCTCTGAGTCAGCGGTTATATGCTGGCACCCTAGGCTTACTACAGTATAAATACGGAACTGTAAAAATGCTAGCCCCCGGCTTATTACAGGCAAAAGACAGTGATGTAAAAAATTATTACTTCTGAACTTAATCCACAACAGTGTGTCGGCGCGATACAATGATAAAGCTTCCCAGATTAAAGATATTCTACTGTAAGTGTATATCGGGTATGTGTGGTAACGGTCTCAACAGGGGCGATGTATTACAGCTATAGCTATAACAGTGTGTAGAAAACCTAGGCACAGCAGCACAGTCCTGATCCACAAAGCCACCTGTATCAAGGGGTATAGGCCGGTGGTGTATCAAGGGGTATAGGCCGGTGGTGGAGGAATGTTTGCCAATGGGGAGGCATCTGGTTCTGGAGCTAAGAGTCCCTCCATTCCATCAAAATCATCCAGCAAGGCCTCAGACGGGCTGTCATCGTAGGCTGGATACCGACGAAGACAGTTCAAGCCTGTGGCCAAAACACCTACAGCTCCAGCTGCCGCAACCAGGAAAAAGCTGATGTCAAAGTTTACGTTCACTTTACTGCCAATGTGTACCTTAGTGTGCTTCTGAAGCGCCTGCACCTCCGCCGTCAACCAGTAACAGAACATGTTTATGATCACACACATTATCACTGAAAAAAAAAAGACAAATACATATTATAATTTTGTGTAACAGGGTTAGGTAAGTGTATCGGTTTTACAGATGAAACAACAGTAAAATTATATGAAAACAATTGTCTCATTGTTGATATTCATATAACTTAAAATATTTTAATAATTTTATGGTTTACACATTTATTTGATTTATATCTGTAGATTAGCAAGATATTTGAAATGCTTTGGGTTTTTTATTATATATCTCACAGAATTTCAGTGATTTCCAATATGTCCGAGTCAGATAAAAAAAAAACACATAAAAATAAGATAATGTTTATAATATTAACAGGTACTGTAAACTGTATAAGCATTATTCTGCACATAACAGGAAGCTATTAAGTTCATAACATTTGAGATTTCAGTCATTTACCAGCAATTATATTCAATATAGCATTTCTCCTTAGAATTTTGAGAGCTCTCCGGGAGGGTCCAATCAAATCTAAGAGGAAGCCTCCGAGGGAACAAGCCATGGCAATGAAGGTGAAGGTGATGATAACCTTCATCAGAACGACAGCCCGGTAGGTCACACAGTTGTGCATGTCTGGAAAACGGAGAAGGAAAATTTGCTTTTTACAGTAAATCATGAAATTTACAGTTACCTGTATTATGTGATTTTTCAAACAGTTGTGCTAAATAATTCTCATGAGTTCTTGTTTTGAGATCAAAAATTGTACAATAAGACCTTCGGCAACTCAGTCTATTCCCTACGGTCACACCCTCGAGTTTTTGGCATACTTTATTTATTTATTATTTTTCAAATTAGAATCAAACATTTAATAATTAAACTCCCAAAAATTTCTACTTCATATCCATATTCAGATAATCCAATTCTATATCCCAGCTTGTGGCAGCACCGCTACATTGAGGATATGGCACTGATGCAGTCTCTCTAGCTGTCCTCTTCCGGCTCTTGATAGCTCTGCTTCACCGAGCTGAGGCCATTGAATTTACCCATTTCTACATACATGACCTTTGTTCCTCCTGATCATATGTACACTACTTCAACCATATACTATATATGCGATTCAGTTACTACTATCTGCACATTTCACGATTACATACACTTAGAGGAACAAAGGACATGTATACATGTACTAGTATGTATATTGTAATGTAGGTTTGTTTACAACTGAGTTTGCCCCTTACGCCAAAGTATATGTTATTGGTTACTTGATTATAAGATGAAGATGTATGTTGTTGATGTATAAGTAATAAATATGTTGTATAAATATGTATATCACTCTCATAGTTATTTGTTCAACATAAATTGAGGTTTATGTAGATAAAGCAGGTTTATGTCGATAAAGCAGGTTTATGTAGATAAAGCAGGTTTATGTAGATAAATAATAGATCTTGCACCCCTAATTGTATGTACAATAGGATACTATTCATTAGGAACTGAAACCAAATATACAGTCGAAGGGCCGGAGGCCAGTCAGATGCCCTTATTAGGGGCCTTAGGGGAAGCTGCTGATTGGTCAATTGTACTACTGGTCACTCAGTCTCTACAGCTAGCCTCCATCAGTATCAGGTCATTATAAGTTGCTACTTCCTAGAGGCCTCTTTTTTAGAGGTGCTTGTGCTAAAGAGGCCAAATAAGCTGTTTTGCATAAAATGGCATATTTTCTCAAACTACTGGGATCGGCAGATTTCAACCTAATTGTAATGGTGCAATGGTATCATGCTTTGCTAACTGGAATCTATTATTAAACAAACAAAAGAGCTGGATCTCCTAGAGGCTGAGTAAACGGGTAAAATGGGCTGACTTCCTTTAAATGACTACTCCCTCCAAACTACTAGATATCAACCTAATTGTAGTGCCTACTAGTGGTAGAAATGTTTTGCCAGTAGGGATTAAAACAACTAAATGGTAAGCTTCTTTTTTTTTTAAATCTGAGGAGCCAGTTAAATTATGTCTGAGGAACCAGTTAAATTATGTCAAATTGGCTAGTATGATATAAATACACTGAGTTACACCTCCTACAAACCTATTTTGGGCAGATTTCAACCAAAAAACAAAATGGTAACATGCTTAGCACACAGGAAGCAAAATCTATACAAATGAAAGAGATATCCCTTTATTGGGCAAAACAAGTCCCATAACTGTTTTTCTATAAATGACATCTCCTTACTCTAAAGAATGACTTCAGTTTGGGTAAATACTGTAAGTAAGGCTAACAAAACACTGGGCTTCCTGAGACGCAATATGTCATCATGCTCCAGGAAAGTCAAATCACAAACATATACCACTCTAGTGAGACCGACTATCGAGTATGCCTCTTAATGTTGGGACCCATACACCACAGAAAACATTGTACTGTTATAAACCGCCCAACGTAGGGCTGCTCGATATGTCTATAACAACTACAGGACCCGTGAACCTTGAATTGTCACCAGTATGGTACAATCACTGAACTGGGAACCACTTGCACGGAGACGAGCAAAAGCAAGGGTTACAATGATGTACAAAATCTTAAATGACAAAGAAGCCATCTCTCCTAATGATCATGTTAAAGTGTCAGACCGCAGAACTAGGGGAGCCAGAACTATCAGTACATGGAATTCTTTACCCGATGATATAGCCCAGTCACCTGACTTGAATCATTTCAAATCAGCTCTGTCTGCCTATCATCCCAAAAAACCCTCTATATTAACTCTTATCATGCATGTATAGTTTTATCTTATCATAAAATAACCAAAAACATTAATGCCACCTCCAAGGAAATATAAAATTGCGGCAACTGCACTCATATTTATAAGATCTGCCGTAGTAAATGGAAGAAGAAGCACAAGAAGAAGAAAACTGCTGAGCAGACTTCAAACAATTATAGTGATAACAAGCCAGGTCTATGAAACCCAGTAAAGTCTATTTTGTCGAAGATTTTTTTCGAATGACAATAGATAAACCTACAATCAGTGGGAGACGGTCCATACTGATACAGTGACTGTTCGTTTTCATCTGCTGCATAAAATTTCCCTGGATAGAAAAACTGGTAAGCGCCTAGATGATCCAAATGTGTGGTAACGGTCGACTGGACGTCTCCTATGGTACAGCCTCCACCTTTCAGCGACACCCACCTGGGCTCTGACAAAGCAGTGCACAACACAACAATAGCAATCATGCTGCAGGAGGCAGCTTTGAAGTTTTTCTCTTTTTGTTTCTGACGGAACCTGTAGAGCTGGCGGAGATGAGAGTTGATGGAATGATGTCCATGTCTATGATGGTGGTGCTCTCTGTGGCGACCCCGAGAACGACCGCTCGACGATCTGCTCCGTCGAGACCCAGACTCTCGACTTCTGCTTGATCTCGGCATTTTCTACACGACAAAGGTCATGTATTGTTTCTTTCCAGTACAGCTATTTGTCGGTGGTCAGAATTTGACAACAGGAAGTTAAAGAATGTAAATAAGAATTGAATTTAGTTTCGTAAAAGAATATATTTACGTAATTTAACTATGGATAAATATAAGGACAATTTATCTATGCTAAGAACATTTAAAAGTGAGAGTATTATCTAATTTCAAAGATAATACTTAAATAATCACATATACAGTGGTTTTAAATACCACCTATAAATATACGAAACTATCGTTAGCGACTAGCTCGATTGTTCAGTCTGGTTAGCTTTCGTTCAAAATGCGATCGTATCCAAAACATGAAATATCTTTTATAAATCAAAAAGAAGAATTTTAATAAGAGTGTTTATAACTATTGCTTATATGCATAAACTTATAAACAAGCGTTAAAGAAAGAAATTAAACAAATCATCGTGCGGATCGTTAGAGGTTTCGAAAGAATATATTTCCTGTATTAAACTTTTTTTCTTATATGCATTTTTGGAAAAAGGAGTAAATGGCAAAGTAGAAAGTGCAGAAAAAACATCTATGTCCTTGTGTTGGTTTTGGTTCCATGATCGGTCAAAGATACCAATTTTAAAGCAATTTCTTTAAAATTATGGAAGGAAGTTTTTTAGTTTAATCAGAGACGTATATACATGTATAATCTATATGTTCTTCGGATATTTACTCTTAATTCTCACCTCTGAATATTCTCACAATTACAACTTATCACCATTTAAGTTACCCCAACTCCCTGTTTTTAATGAAAAAGACAACATTTTTTTCACAATTTTTTGGCATATTTTACGCTTAATATGTAAAGTTCTGCTATTAAACTTTTTTAATATTTAGTGAATCAAAAGAAAATGTGTATCTCTTTCTAAAAGGCCATGAAAATGGGGTTTCATTGTGCTTCTTTATTGTCCCATTATCATTTGGGTTATTTTTCACCCTTTTCGGGGTCAAAAATCGAAAGTGCTTCAGTTACACTAAATATGAAAAAATACTAATAATGTATAATTTTCCACTTTGATGCATAATATTTAATTTTTATCGAATTGAACATTATAAAGCTGCACAGCAAAAATGAACTTGCTATAATTAAAAATGGCAACACAATGACAATTTAAGTGATCAATCTAGTGCCAGAAAGGTAAAAAACACATTACATTAATGTCTTATTATTGACTAAGTTAACCTCGCTATGGAACATTTTAATAGCTTATATATAAGTTCAATTTATATAAACTGCATATTTAAGTCCTGATGTTTAATTGGGGTATTTTAATATAACCTATCAGGGAGTTGAAATTTTGGACGACTATAGCCTCTTTCAGGTGGCTTGTTGATCCTTTGAAATAAAACTGATTATTTTTTTCTCATCTGAAAGTATAGTATAGTGTTTAACAGTATTGAATGTGAAATACCAGTATTTATTTGTAGCTGGCGATTTTAACTCAAAGAAGTTGATCTTTAAAATATAAATGATGACATGGCCATGATGTTTCCGATTTCTCCCAACACTTAATACTACGAAACTGTTCAAACTGTCAGTAATACCTCTGACGAAATTGTAGTCTCACATTCTTAATTTTCACACAAGTTTTTTGTTTGACTTGACATTTTTTCAACATTCTTATATTATTACATCGATCTGGGTACCAATGTAGAAAAACAATTATTTTCTTTGTAAGTTTGAAACAAGATACGTAGAATAATATTGTATACATTGTAGTTGAGAAGCAAACAAATACAAAAAAAAAACGAAAAAAACACCAGTTTGGCTATTTTCACATGTTGAAACCAGGATATTAGGTGTTATGCACCATTTTATTGTTTTAGAAGAAGATATAGGAAAGAAAAGAGTAATGAAAAGAGAGAGAGGGACAAGAAGAAAAGGAAGGTTGGAGAGGTGTCGAAGGATTTGACAAGGGCTTATTGTTCAATATTGTGTAAATTTTTGTACATAGGCTACCTTTAACAGGAATTACATTGGTACTATATTATTATAATTAATTTACATTTCATCTATATGGCCTGCAGTAATCTTTCCCATTTTTTTCCATTCCCTTTTAAAATTAGTGAGATAATTTTCACCATCACCTACAGCAATGTATTTTTGAGTATTGTAAATATCTTTAATTAAGTTTTTCAAAGCTAAAACTGATAGACTAGTTTGCAGACATCTAGCTTTATAAATATGTAGTTTAATGATAAGAAGTACTAAATTATCAACATTGTTTTTTTCTATCATAGAAACCAAAGATAAAAGATTCTTTATTAAAAGCAAATGGAATTAATAACACATCTAGCAATGATTCAAAATCTGTTAAAAACACTTGTACTTCTTTACATTCCCATAATGCATGAACTATAGTTTCTGTGTCAGTTTTACAATGAAAACAATATGGACTATTAACAAGACCTATTTTATAAAGATATGAATTAGTAGTTAAAATCTGTTGATTGATTCTAAATTGAAGCCACTGTAGTTTTGTGTTTTTACTAATTTTGAAGGGAATGGTATAGATTTTCTTCCATGTCTCTGTGTTAAATTCAAATATTTCCTCCCACTTCTTTCTACCGGTAGATATTGTATTATTTTGGCATAGAACATGGTAAAAGTCTTTAGTTCCTTATTTGTGTTTAAGAAAAAAATCCAAATTAATTGGGATATATGGATTATCTACATTCAAATTAGAAACATCCTCATTTCTAATCTTATGAAAATAGTCACCTGGTAGGTGATTTTTTTAATTTGCTGACGTACCGATCACATTGTCTTTCCAATAACCTATGAACTCATAGTCACCAACAGACTTAAATTATCTTCCAAATATCTTTACATTCGGCCACTGTACCACACGACTGGCGTGTACCACACATCGTTCCAGAATTCAAAAAAGGTGATAAACAAGCTGCTGACAATTACCGTCCTGTCTCTCTCACCTGCATCACATGTACATTAGTGGAACATATTATCCACAGCAACGTTTTGGTTCACCTCGAACACAATATAACATACTTAATAATTCTCCACTAAAACCCAACTGATTCTGACAATAGATGACCAAGCAAGAAACTTTGATAAAAACAAACAAATTGATGTTGCCCTTTTGATTTCCCGAAAGCTTTCGATAAAGTCTGTCACACGAGATTACTTTCCAAATTTACTACGGCATAAAGTCGGAAATTGTTCATTGGTTTTCCTCTTTTTCTAATAATAGACAATAGGCAGTAACGGTACCAGCTCTGACAGCACCCAGCCCTTTCCGGGATACCCAGGGGACTGTCGTTGGCCCACTTCTGTTTCAGATCTACATCAATGACATTGTCGGATCAGGTTCTTGAAACATCAAGCTCTTTGCTGATGACTCATGCTTACTCTTTGCAGAAATAAATTATTTACATGACTGTCACAAACTTGATATTGATCTCAAATCTTTGGAAAACCAGGGAGGTAAATGGCAGATGATTTTTTTACGCTAAATGTGATTCTACACAATCAAACACTGGACATTTTACATTCTAGCAAATATCTAGGAGTCACCTGTACTACAGATCTAGATTGGGATAAGCACATATACAGTCCATCACTAACAAAGCCAACAAGATCTGGAATTTCTGAGACACACCTTGTCATCTTGCACCAGAAACGTTGAAACCCAAACATATACAACCTTAGTATGCAGCCACATGCTGGGACTTTATACATCAGACCCGGTCCTAGATATTGAAAATGTCCAGCGCAGGGCTGCCGGCTATGTACGTGTGTGTACCACAGATCTAGAGAGCCTGTTGTGTATCCAACATGCATATGATGGTTATTGCTGCTTCTGCTCCTGTCGGCCTGTTGGGTGATATATATTGTGATGAATTCCTTCAACGATGTACATAACAGTTGCAGATCGGAAACGAAATCTCCAGAAAACGTTGTCCCCAACCATGATTTCCAAGGGATTTTGCCGATCAACAAAAAACATAGGCATTTGAATCACATGCTCAATTAACATTTCTGCCAGTCGCCATAATTGTAAAAAAAAAAAAAACTCTGATCATGGGATAAGGGCATTTTCATGAATCTTTGAGTACATGATCAAATATTGAGGACAGAATTTTTAATGAATACGACTTGGGCATAAGAATGAAATCGGCAAGTAGAAGACAGACAATGTTAGCCCAAAACACTGAGTTTGAGCATGAGAACGGTAAAGAATACGGGCCCGGATCACTAGAACAAACACCAGGCTCATGATGCTATATAAGATCATTATAATTATCGGACATGTTGGAATCGATCCATCCAACTTTTTAACATCAGGTGATAGGAAAGAACATGAAGGGGCCTGCAGAATCCACATACATAATCTTTTTACCCAGGAGTATTGTAAACTGTACCAAATTCTCTAGCACAGGAGCAAAACCAAAGTTCTTTCAGGTGTGCCCTTGCTAGTTTAATTACCCAAAAGTATTTCCTTCTTTTATCTCATAGTGAAAAATACTATATTTGTTTTAATGCCACCTCCCAGGATCAAATGCACTCAAAGCTTTAGGGTCTGATCCGTCATATAGAAGCAGAAACTCCAGATGACGATTGTCACTCTGAAGTAATTAACCTCTGAATTGCTAAAGATGCGACCCACCAAGGTCAAGGTCACTAAAAGTTCTTAATTTCAACTATGCCGATTTAATTTTCTGGACAAAGCATCTAAACAAATCCACTGAGTTTCATGAATTATGAATCATTTACATAAAGACAATACCATGTACCAATACCCGACTAAGATGTTTCTCTATACAGACACTGGTGCAGTCATGGTAACGGTTAAATAAAACGAATTCCTTTATTTTTATCAAATTACTTTTAAAATTGGTTGGCGACAGCGATAATGTGCAGACATGTATCCATTACCCCTTATGGACCAATAGACAAAACTTTTTTGGCAGGAAATTCCAGAACTAGAATGTTTTGTGTACTACTAAAAAAGATCCCATAGGTGAACACCTCCACATATGTTAAGAGATCTTTCCATTTTGCTGCTTCCCAGGTGTGGAACATCCTACCAAATGAACTTTGATTAGCTGAAAACTACAAGTCATTTCGTGGGCTGCTTCTATCGGCACACAACATTTAGTGTGAGTTGTCCCCCTTTACCTACATGTTACTACAACTCTTTAACTTTCGCTGTTGCTTTTGCTATGTAATTTGCTGATATACTTCAGTACTATACAGCCTGTGATATTTATTTTAGACTTGAGCTCCATTATTTAAAAAGATCATTAATTTTTAAATCATAATTATAGCTGTTTCAATTTATGACTTCATTGTCTCTTTTTAATTCACACTATATTAGTGTATGTGTGACATACAAGTGTTCACTATTAAATTATTTCTTTTAAAATTTCTAAATTATTATATTGCATAAACTGTGATTGCATATGTACTACTGTATATTTGTAGCATATCTAAATTGAATTGTTGTCTTTTTTATATATATATATCCATAAGGACTGTGATCCTTGTTAAATTTTATATATGTTTTGTCGCAATACTACAGTTGTCGCAATACTACAGTGCTAATGTTATTATGTAACATGTATATGCGACGTTAAATAAAGCTTCTTGACTCTTGACTACAACATTGCCAATGTCAGGTACCCGAGACTCTAATCAGTCCTCCGTCAGGTCATAAAATTAGATTTTTAGATCTTTCCTGGCGATGTATTGTAGACAGATCAGATCTTTCCTGACGATGTATTGTAGACAGATCAGATCTTTACTGACGATGTATTGTAGACAGATCAGATCCGTCTGGTTGTTAGCTTGTGGCAAACCCTTAAAGAAAGACTCAACAAAGAAATTCAAGTTAATGTAGAAATTTATTTGTAGACAATCAAAAGGGACAAGTGATACAATACAAAAGAAAAGTCTCGACAACAGCCCGAGAGGTCACCTGTACAAGTGTCTATATAAGGAGACGAGTAATGTCTCCCTTAGACTAAATGACAATATGTTTATAAATAATTGAGCAGGTTATTGATTATGAAATATCTAGTTTTATCTGATTAAGGCATGTTTTAAATAACAGCTACCCTATTTTTTTCAGTAAAAATTCTCCTAATAAATTACATTGATGTTCCTATTATCTTTGCTCCTAGTAGAATTCTCCCACAATAAATTACTCCTAGTCCATTAAATGCCAGCGACTTCCTCAATATAACGATTCAAGGGTATTTATGTGAAATTTGTGTGACAATGATGGCACAATAATGTTGCCACTTTCTAACTGTATGTACCAGATATGACCACACAAATTTCATTTGTAACACTACCGATACACCTTTTGTATATTTCAAAGTAACCCTTTTTTTTTTATTAGTGATCAGAGGATGTTTTTTATATTAATCTTTTTTTTATCATCAAGAACAAAGGCAAACATTATCAAAATCACAAACTGACAATGCAGGTATGCTGGACATAAGGCACCAGGTAAAATAGTGCTTGATCGCTTTTTGATTGTCTCATCATTTTGTATTTAACTAAATAAAGGTAAAAAATACACTGATGATTTATAATAATAAACTTATAACTGAATGTCAAGTCTTCATGAAAATGCAGCTTTTTTAAAATTAAAATAAACTCTATACAATACAACAAAAATATTGATCTACATAACAAATCAATCATACAAGTAATAAAATATATATTTCACACAAAAGAAAAACAAAACTTCTTTAAAATGATTTAAATATATGTAGTTCAGCTATCTATAATAACGGTCCTTAACAGGATAATGTCCTTCAGTTGTAAGGATCCCCGTACCACTGCTGAAAAATCTCAACTAGGGCCGACAATGAACTTTTTTTCGGGTATGACTAAAGCTATAACAATTCATTTCTGAAATGAACACCATACCTTGTGGGACTTTTATGAAAAAATGATAAAGATGAAATAAACTAACAAAGAATCAAGAACAGTGACCTGTTTGTAAAAACTGATTTCTATATAAATTATATACACATATAAACAAGAAACTGTAGGATATCAACAACTTAACAATCTGGAATGTTTCAGGTGTTTTAAATTCTGATAATTTGTAGTGAAATCGGATCCTAACTTCCAGGCACTACAACATGGCCACATGTAAATTTGGTATCATAGTAAATTCAGATATATTTTTATTTTGGAATTGTCTTTTATAATAATCAAGATATAATGTTTTAAAGTAATAAGGTTGAACGCTTTTCAATGTTTTATTTTTTCAAAATTATTGGAAATGAAGAATCACAAATTTGAAATACGGTACATAACTATACCGAACTCCTTTCCAGGCAGATGCAACATCAAATCTGTGCATAATTAAACTATAGCTATTCCGTCTTTGCGTATTGCAGAGTTATCTTCTCTTGAGAGCAGGTATGGATTGTTACGTCATTTGTATGTGAGAGTAACGTCATCTATTTTTGAGAAAACGTCGTGATTTTCTCACACAAACCAATGACGTAACAATCAATATCTGCTCTCAAGAGAAGATAACTCTGCAATACGCAAAAACGGAATATAGCTATACTGTTAAATACAGTGACACTCTAGGGATAGGACATGTTTATTGTAACATGAGCTGATTGTATCCAATTTTTTATTTTCAATTACTAGCTTATATTTATATCTGATACAATTATTTCAAAATATTATGTCTGATAAAACCATGAGTATTTTTTGTTTTAAATATTGAACTTCGTTTTTCAGTTTAGAATGTCCGAGGTGTAACAAGATGTAGAACATCAAATATACATATACACACAAAGTAGAATATAAAGAATTTATTTCACAATGGATTTCATAAATACTATAAAAAAATAAAAGATTTTTGACAAAAAGTATGTAACGGATACATGTCTATCTCACCGTATAATATATCTATACATGTATACGTACCTACATGTACCATTAAGTATTTTGTTGCACAGCCTCTAAATATCACAAATAACAACTACACCGGAACAGTTTCCAACCAAAACTGTTCAGGAATTTCTTTAAAACAGTTAGAATGATCAGATGACTGATCATGGCATGACTTTTAATTCAAAGTTTGACCATTTCCAGAATGTTTTTCAATTGACATTGTAACTACACACAAATGGTAACCATAACAACCAGAAAGATAAAATGAGATCATTTTTTTCTGTTATGTCACAATGTCTACATATATAAGGAGTAAAATGCATCTTTTAAACATTTACAATAGTATAAACTACCAAGCTCCATTCAAACTTCTCTCCAAAAGGTTCTATACAACAAATAACATAAATAACAAAAGCATATTGTGTAAATAAAACATATCTCTTGATCTTTGGAATAATATATGTTTTTTATTGTATTTTCAACAAAACACAAGAAACACACGTAAACCTGTACAGGGATGATGTAGTCATGATGACTAGTTTTTCCTCATTAACTCATTCACCCCTGAAGACACATTTGAACTCTTTCAAGGCAAAGGATGCAATTGTTCATTATGAAATTTCAGGGATATAATTTGTATATGTGCAACAAAACTACATTCAAAAACATTTTACATACCAAAATGATTTGTCCATAGGCATATTGTTTTTGCTATGCAAAACAGAATTATAGTACTTAATTAACTAGAAATGAGTCTGAAAGACACTGATGACCGACTCCCACACTTAAGCATGAGTCAAGTTACCAAAGGTCAAGTTACCAAAAGGTCAAGTTACCAAAAGGTCAAGTTACCAAAAGGTCAAGTTACCAAAAGGTCAAGTTACCAAAAAGTCATGCAACATGCTGTTCTCATAGAGGAGCATAGAGAGGGTGAATTTACATTTATGTGACCAATGAGCTACTTTCATCCATAACTGGGAATAACTTGACCAAGGTCACAGAGGTCAAGGACCAAGATGAAGGTCTCAATAATGTCATGAAACATGCTGTACTCATCAAGGCACATCAGCATGTGAAGTCACATGACCCTTGCTGCAATTCTTTGTCTAAAACCAACCTAAATATCAAAACGACATCACATCACAAACATTCGATGATGTGTGCCGAGTCAAATCTTTTACCGAGTTACCTATTGCATTGTCATATATGGTATTCGACATTAGTATGTTTGTAACACGTGACTCTGGCTAAATTGAATACTATAAAAGAAATAGACTTAGAGACTTGAGTTTATCTGACTAAGTGATGGACATACTGCCAGTTAATGTACAGTAATTGTATAAGCGTACCTTGTAACGCAAGTCCAGTGGCTGGAGGACTGTTTATCATAAAACTGTAGAATTTGGACTAACTGGTGAAACAAAAAGCTTGTTACTGATGTGTGATACAATTAGATATAACTTTATTATAGGTTGACAATACATAATAGCATTGCCCCTATAAATATCATTGAGGCCTCCCCGTGACAGTGAAATCCCTTAAGTGACCTTAGGCACAGTGAACCTCTAATTTATATATCATATAAATACTGTTCACATTGTTACATTATGGCATCACAACTTACAAAAGTATAACATTATTTAACTAAAAAAAAATATCAAGAATATCATCATGTCGAAGATTGCTGCTGTTTTCACACAGGTTCCAAAACTTACATTACTGTTACACTTGTAATGTTATAAGATGGATTCCTATTCTAAGGTGGTGACGTCCACATTTTCAAAAACAGGTGTGAACTGTTTCCCTAGTCGGGTAAAGACTACCTGTCAATATAGGCCATCCCTTAAGTGTGATATAGACAGGAAATGTGTTTGATTGTCTTACCCAATATATAGGCCATAGGTAAAGAGGAGAAGATTTCCAAGACCGATCTTGTTTGACGTCATATGTCAACATAGCCCGAGTTTCCTCTGGCCCTAACACTAGTCTTAGACATTTTGACATAGAGATGTCAGGTGCCTTCACCAGACATCTGTATGTCAAAGTATCAAAGTTTGGTGTTAGAGCCAAAGGAAACTCGGACTATATGTTGACATGAAAATCCATGCAATCAATGTTTATTTCATGTGGGAGTGAAATAATAATTTACCCCTTCGGGAGAAAGACAGAAAAATCTTGACCCTCTGGTAATATTTTTAAATGTCTGGCCTTTAGATTAGCAAAACCTCAGCTATAATCATTTATGAAACTTGCCCGTTCTATTGAAATTTTTCTGCTACCCGTAGTTAGTGAAAGATTCTATCAATCTTTTCCTGAACAAAATGGGAATGCACCTGAAAATGTCGGAGAAAATATACTGTCCCATTTTTAAAACAGTGAGTGTGACTCTCCATTAGCCTGAAGATTCTTTGCTCTTTCCACCAGAAAAAAACCCCATTAAATTTCAAACAGACTCAAAATATTTTTCTTTAAGAGTTAAAAACAGTAAGATGAGGTTATCCTTGATGTAAATAATAATTTTAATAAATCAGGGATAGCAATGCTTTGAACAGAAAACTGATATAATTCAGATATATCTGTTTATGCTTCAGCAATAACTAATAATTATATATATCTTGGATTTCACAAACAATGCAAAACAAAAGTTACCACCCTTGAGATACTAGTCAAGGTCAACACATCAGAATGATACAGATCAAGGACAACAAACACAAGTCTGTGAGCTCGAGAAACACCTCCAAATAACAGGCTCCATTACTCCATCCCGATCCAGTGAGGTAAGAAGTGGTCTTGGATACCTGGTCCGAATTCCCATTCATACCCAGATCCGGGTCTCGCTACGTTCTTATAATAAATCATGGTTCCATTGGTCATCCACCCAATAAACCAGCCAAAGGTTCCGACCGACATGATGGTGTGGTTGGTCAATGTAAGAAGACACATATCTACTTCGCCAGAATTACCGGTTACAATGTACACATCGTCGTATTTCTGTAAAGTATTGGTTGTCCACAATATATCATCAGAAATCACCACAAAAAGAACATCTTTATATTTCCGTCGGAAATAGCCCATTGAATTATCAAGATAGCCTTCTGTAGCTACAAGTTTGCCATAATTAACGTCGCTCCTTTCAATGTGATCCCCGCGTCTTATATGTATTCCTACTAAAACAGAACCCTGTTGCGGTTTCTTTCCAGTTTCTTTCAAAATTTTCTTCATATAAGACCTTGCTTTGTCCTTTATATCATCTTGAAAAACAAAAATCTTACGCAAGTCTGCATCATAATCTTTCCAATACTTCCATGACTGGAAAAATCCTCTAAAAGATAAATCTTTATTCTTTTCTAACTCTTCAAATGAGGAATCATAAGCACAATTCCATTTGTCATCTATCGTCCAGAAACACCAGCACGTATATCTACTGAACCCATACTGGTCTCCGGTCTTTGGTTGGATTCCAAAAGCCTTTGTCAGGTCGGATGGAGGAACAATCATAGACAAACCCTTCTTATGGGCATAAGCATAGAGAAAGGCGTAGTCAAACATCTGATTGGCCAGACGTCCTCGGAATTTTACACATATAAATTTCTCTCGTTCCCAACCCATCATATCATACAGGTAGATTTTCCAGCACTGTGTAATGATGAAGAAAGTATACAGGAATCCGAGGAACAGCAGGAAGTAGAAAAGTTTCTTGAACCCTAAAAATAAAACATGTACAGAAAATCAATAAAATATTATATACATAATTTTCTATTAAATTAAAGCCTTCCAATGAAATACTGGTTGTCAAAAATACTTTCCCCCTGGTGCCCCTCGGTGCTGATAGTTGACTATGTGTTATATTGCACGAGGCCTTCAGCCACTGGTACCAGCAACGAGGGACAAATGTGTTTGACTATCAAATAATTGTTTTATATGAATAACATATTTAACAATAATATAAAACACAAAATTCTGTTCAAGGTTATTCATTTAAATACAATTAATAGCCCTTGCTCTAAAAAAGGTACATATCAAATATTATGGCCATGGGACTTATGGTTCTTGAGAAGAAGATGTTCGAAGTAAATAAGATGACAATGAATGCAACATCTTGACATAAGCTCACAAGGATGACTGTAACACTACTGAACTGAAGTAGGCTTGTCCTGTACTCAGAAACAGAATTGTTATAACTCTGGTATAGTTTACAACTCATTATTGTTTTTTGGGATATAAATTTCATAGTAAGATTAAAAGTAAAACATTGTTTTTTCTTGAATGACCCATGTACATGATATATTTATTGGTTATCATTCCACGCAATCTCTTCACTACATACTTCATCCCTTCTACTCATTTCCCTATCTTTTCTTCGTCTGCTTGACGACTGAACTACTCTGTATCAGCGGACATGAAACCAATCAAATAAACAAACAAAAAATTACAGATAATCAGCAAAAGTAAACATGAGAAAGAACTAGGGGCGTTAAGGGTCATTCCCTGCCTCATCAGGGAGTTTGAATTAGTTGTTTTATTTCTGCATAGAAATGCAACTTCGTTATACGCATGCACATTGGGGAAAATATGCACCAAGAAAAATCGCCCCAATTAACCAATATGATGTTCATAACAGATATTGGTAAATAAATTCAAGTTGAAGTTCTTAGCCTTTTATATGGCCAAAATTACCAATAATACCCCCAGCCTTTCCATTATGGATAATTTGATCATTAATATTGAAAAATGTTTATCTTGGGTTTTCTTAGGCTTTTAAAATTAAATATTCTTTAAATTGAAATTACCGATATTTTAGTCATAAGAAAAAAATAAAATCAAAAGGGTTAATTTTTTTTTAATTGAATTCTGGACAAAAATGCAATCATCAATGATGGTAATAAAATATGTTATTTACTTTTTGGGATATAGATTTCATAGTAAGATTAAAAGTAAAACATTGTTTTTTCTGGAATGACCCATGTACATGATATATTTATATTTATCACATAATGTACTGTGTTATCCAGTGAATATAACCATGTCATATTTTTTGGTGTATTAACCCATGTTAAATGAGTTATCAGCCCTGTGATTGGTTGTAAGTTTCAATTGTTTCGTCACGCCTAGTACAAGTACGAGACGTCATAGACTTACGCACTGGGGTCAAAATGGCAGCTTTTTACATTTCAAGGTTGCATGAAAATTGTCGTTTTACACGAATAAATGCCACAAATCTTTATTATGTGATCAAAATGAACTTACACTCTTTTCATTTCGTGTGAAATTTATGAAACCCGTCACAAATTTTTCATTCTAGCTCACAAGAGGCTCGCTAAATTGAAAAATTCTTAGATTTGTTTCATAAATCTCATGAAATGGAAACTCAGGTAAGATCCTATATTTATCATATGAATACCGTGTTATGCAGTGACATAAAGCCGTCATATAAATTATGTTTATGTAACGTGTGTAATATCACTCTGGAAATGACGTCACAATTGAATAGGAATAATCAATGTGACGTCACATATGTAATTGTGAAGCGGACGCACTTTTCATTGTCTCATAGGCGACCAAGTGCAAAATATTAGTTTCAGATCACAATTATAGAGTTTACTTTGTATTATATGATACAAACAATCTGTCATTTGTTTCCGTTCATATTAGATTATTTACTCATTTTGGATTTTTCATATTTGCTCTGCAAGAGACATATAACAACTCTGGCTCGCCAGAGGATCGCAAACAATAAAAAATCCAAAATTTGTATCATAAATCTAATATGAAGGGAAACGAACGACAGATCCTCTATATATGTATGTGTGGACATGCATATTTGTAATGAACCCCTGTGATCACAAGCTAACAGAGTCAAGTTCATGTAAAGGCTTGTAAAGACAACATATTTACACTAACCCCTGTTATCACATGTAATATAGCTTTTCAAATTATTTCATAATCAGTTAAATCAAATTTATTTATTATAACTATTTACAAGCTAAGAAAACGGGTTGAACTTCATCTGACACAAGAATCAAAGAAATATGTGTGACTGTGTGTAATACTTGGAAGTGATACTGACATTTTCCATTGATCACAGCCTGATAGGGTGGACATCGTGGGTTGGTAAGCCTTATTCCTCCAATTCTTTTCAGATACCACCTGCAAAGAAAGGTCAACATTTTCTAAAACCAACAGAAAATCAAATACTGAAGCTCAGGATAGGCCTAGTAAACGTGATAAGCATTGCGTCCATATTTGTTATCGAGATGAGGTAATTACATTTGTATTTTCGTTGCTCAGACAGACAGAAACCATGTTAATAATAATAATGATATTTATTCAGGGAAAAATAGGCATATATACAATACATGAATATCACCGAGTAGAGTAAGTACTTCTTTTTTTTATATAGTAATACCCTTATTTTTTTTATATGATTTTTATCTCAATTCACATTCAGAATTTTTTTATATAGTAATACCCTTATTTTTTTTATATGATTTTTATCTCAATTCACAGTCAGAATTGTTTTATATAGTAATACCCTTATTTTTTATATGTTTTTTATCTCAATTCACAGTCAGAATTTCAAACACCTATGTTGTGACATTGAGCACTACTGTAGTTATATATGAGATCAGAAGTTAAGAATTTTTATCACAGAAATTGCAGCCTTTTACCTAGGATAACCCAAAAAGCTGAAAGCTTATTTCCATTGGGGTCCTTTAATCAGCCTCAGCCCATGATTTATTCCATACTTACATGGCTTGTTAGTTCGGTCGCCCTGTCTTCTAATCGGAAGTCGGTATTTGTAACCTTCCGGTAAAAGGGGTGCTAATAATTACTGCCCGGTAGAGCCCGGCACAGCCCGGCACAGCCCGGGACAGCCCGGTAGTGATATATTAACCGCCCGGGCGTTTGTGTCCACTTATACACCATTATGATTGTATTTTTTGCATTGTTTGTAACAGTATGAATGTAGTGATCAAGAAATGGTGACAAAATCATTAAATTTGACCAAGTTATGGTTATTTGAACTTTGTAACATCGTAACAACCCGCTGGAGTAGAGCCAGACGTTTGTTATTTGTAATACAAACACCGCCCGGGCTTTCACCTATGTAGTAAACTGTACTGAAGTAACTTATTCTCATATCTTTAGAAACGAAAAATAAAAAACTGAAAGAAATATCAAAATATGTTCATAATTAGTTATTGTAATTTGAAGTTAACCAACACTGCAGGACTTGTTATTTACAATATTAGGACTGCCCGGGCGTTATCCTGTTAAGTTAATTTAATCTTAGTACTTTACTTGGGTTATTTAATGAATGAGAAACAAAACATAAAACATAAAAGATAGTGTGAAAATATCTTCATTCTAAAAAGATTTATGCTGATCTAACTTTAGATACTTAGGTACTCCTTGTCCCCCTAGCCTAACGTAAAGTAGACAGTGTAAAGAGTATTATGTATTTTAGACAGTGTGGTTATTTTGTGTTATGATTTGTTCCGACAGATATTATATAGATGTCTGTTTGTTTGTTACTAACGTTGTCCAGATATAGCCATCACTACTATAACAAGACATTGTCATGTTGTAATTCTGTAGGGGCATAATGATGGAGATTTCCAGTCGCTGATAGTTTGCGAAAAGAAACAGCTAGAGTGAAGAAATTATGAAATTATATTGAAAATTGACTGAATTATATCGATTTGAAATGGGTAGTATCATACTTGTTTATTTGGCTCGGAGCCCGGCACGGTAGCCGTTACTTTGTTGATGCCGCCCCGACAGCCCGGGCTTTTACCTGGGTCGGTACCCCTTGTCCCTCTAGCCTAACGTAAAGTAGACAGTGTAAATAGTATTCAGTCGAAGAAATTATGAAATTATATTGAAAATTGACTGAATTATATCGATTTGAAATGGAATATAAATGTTGGTTTAATGAGCTACATTTGAGTCGGAGTCTAGCATGAGGTATTTGACCTTTGCGATTACCAGTATAAAAATAGTTTGGTGCATGTCTGATACTGTTATTATCAAGATGTGTTTTTAGTACCTTAACTGATGAATTTTCTCTGATATTTAGTGGTAGTTTATTCCAGAGGCGAATTGAAGAAGGTAAAAAAGATGCATTATATAAGTTCGTTCGTGTTTGTACAGTCTTATGTAAGTCGGATCTTCTTGTATTGTATGTATGGCTGTCAGAAATTCTTGAAGGGACTAGATAAGATAGATAGTTCGGCGATATTTTGTTGACCATTTTATGATACTGTATTAATTTGTGTTTTCATTTGGTGTCTCTATATAGAAGTTCTATATTAGCTAATTTGGTACCCCCTGTAGCAATTCTGGCTGCCTCTAGTTGCACACTTTCTAATTTCTCACTTAGATAAATGGTATATTGTCCCAGACTATGTCAGCGTATTCCAGAATTGGTCAAATAAATGATAAATACATTTTCATTATTATCTCTTCTATTTATAATCAGATCTATGTATACTATTTAAGGGAGAAGAAATTTAAACGGGAATCTTACGTGTTGCCATGAGGATAGCCTGAGCGCAATATTAGACAGACAGACAGACAAACAGACAGTCAGAAATACTGATATAAACCCTAACACAGACGGACGGACACAGAGACAGACAGACAACAGAATATGAACCTGGCCATATTATGATAACAAACAAAATTGAAGAAAAACAAGTTGAAAATATGTTTCATATATATCTGAGACAGCAACCTTGCTACAATATAACACATCAAATTTGAAAAACACACCTGAAAATGTAGATTTTTTGATGTTGTAAATATTTTAGACATGTATGTGATTGGTGTACTAGATTGACGGGGATCGTGTTGGCGTGTCACTCTTCGCTGAATGCAACATACAAATCCGACCGACAGACCGACAGACAGGCAGGCAGGCAGGCAGACAGACAGACAGACATCAGAATTAGCACCATGCCATATTATATATCTTCCCAAAAAAGTGAAAATACATCTGAATATATATGAGTTTGTTATGTCGTATATACTTCAGACATATTTGTGGTTAATACAAATGATTCATTTTTCATTTTTAATTGATATTTATGCATCCACATATAAACGGTTAAGACGTTTAACTGAGCTGACGATATAACACGCACGTTTTCAGCTTTATATAATAGCGTATGTTTGAGAAGTAACTTATTTAAAAACATCATAACTGTGCCAATTTTTAACAAAATCTCACAATTTCTCAGAAGACTCGTTCAACACCAGAAGAGTTTTAGTTGAGCAAATACTGATACTGGTGAAGGCCCGGGCGAACCCGTTGTTACAAATTACACTCATGATTTCAGCTTAATCGTACGATTGAGAAGTAACTAGTTTCAAAACAACATAACTGTGCCAAAAAATACCGTATTCTCCTATTTTTTCACTGGTGTTATATATACATCAGCAACCGAACGATTACATTTTTTCTGGTTACGTTTAAATCTAGCTAATGGTAAGATTTTTGTCAGCATTGTGTTAGTAGCACACACATCTTAACAAATACAGGGTTTTAATGACTTAACGGTAAAGATGAAAGCCCGGGCGGTTCCGATGCTGCAAATAACACGCGTGATATGTCTAAAGTTAGATCAGCATAAATCTTTTTATCATAAAGATATTTTCACACTGTCTTTTATTTTTTATTTCTCATTCATTAAATAACCCGAGTAAAGTACTTAGATTAAATTAACTTTACATGGTAACGCCCGGGCAGTCCTAATATTGTAAATAACAAGTCCTGCAGTGTTGGTTAACTTCCAATTACAATAACTAATTATGAACATATTTTGATATTTCTTTCAGTTTTGTATTTTTCGTTTCTAAAGATATGAGAATAAGTTACTTCAGTACAGTTTACTACACAGGTGAAAGCCCGGGCGGTGTTTGTATTACAAATAACAAACGTCTGGCGCTACTCCAGCGGGTTGTTGCGATGTTACAAAGTTCAAATAACCATAACTTGGTCAAATTTAATGATTTTTTCACCATTTTTTGATCACTACATTCATACTGTTACAAACAATGCAAAAAATACAATCATAATGGTGTATAAGTGGAGACAAACGCCCGGGCGGTCAATATATCACTACCGGGCTGTCCCGGGCTGTGCCAGGCTCTACCGGGCGGTATTTTTTAGAACCGGGAAAATGCGTGGTCACCTGATCATTTGTCTCGTTCAAACAGACTCTTGTTGCCTGAGCAAGCTACGCCGAATAGAGACTGAACGAGACTAGCGTATTCAGAGAACTATACTGTAAAATGCCAAAAATGTGATAAAATTGAATAATTGTAATCATAATTGTCCTTTATGTATTGCCCCGCGGCGTGGCCTTGATTTGGTGAATTAACAATCTTGTATCTTGTATCTTGTTAACATTCTGTGCACCTCTGTTCTGCAAGAAGGCGTTGGACTCAATATTACCTAGATGTTTGTTCGCACATGTACATAAAGTCTTGTTTTTTTTTTAGCTCACCTGCCCGAAGGGCAAGTGAGCTTATGTTATCGTGCAGCATCCGTCGTCCGTCTGTCCGGCGTCAACTTTTTGCTTTAAACAACTTCTTCTCAATAACCAAAAGGCATAGGATGATGATATTTGGCCAGTAGCATGCTGCGATGAAGGGCTACGAAGTTTGTTCAAATAAATGACCTTGACCCACTTTCAAGGTCACAGGGGTCAAATATGTTAAAATCTTCAAACAACTTCTTCTCAATAACCAAAAGGCACAGGGTACTGATATTGGGCCTGTAGCATGCTGGGATGAAGGGCTACCAAGTTTGTTCAAATGAATGACCTTGACCCACTTTCAAGGTCACTGGGGTCAGATGTCTTAAAATCTTCAAACAACTTCTTCTCAATAACCAAAAGGCCCAGGGTACTGATATTGGGCCTGTAGCATGCTGGGATGAAGGACTATCAAGTTTGTCCAACTGAATGACCTTGACCAACTTTATAGGTCACAGGGTCAAATGTCGTATAAGCAAAATGGCCAGGGTACTGAAATTGGGCCTGTAGCATGCTGGGATGAAGGACTACCATGTTAGTTCAAATGAATGACCTTGATCCACTTTCAACCTAATGTCCTTGTTCAACAATCAAGGGCAGAGGCGTCATATGTTTAAATCTTTTAATAGGTTATTATGAAATCTTAAGATTGCAAGTGTTAGATTAATAACAGGTGAGCGATGCGGGCCCATTGGGCCTCTTGTTTAATAACCAGTTTATCATAAATGCAAAATTTAGCACAGCAGAAACTTAAGACATTTCCACCATCCCACCGAACACCCGTGTTTTTTGTGTAAGGTTTTATTAACATTTTGTGCATGCGGAATTAATTTAAAATCGGGGCCGCAGAACTTCATACACCTAAGATTCGAATCAGATAAAAAAAAAATATACTACACAATGGAGCCCTACCAGCTCCTATATTGGAAACTTACTTTAACTGTAACTTTACAATATCTTTTTATATGTTGCATGGGCCGAACTTGCCCCGGCGAGACATTCCCCGCGGCAGAATTTGCCCCGGCGAGATATTCCCCGCGGCCGAATTTGCCCCGGCGAGATATTCCCCGCGGCCGAACTTGCCCCTGTCTCCCCTGTGATCAGCGACATATACATGTATACCCTTTATATTCATCACTATAATTATATAATCTGATTGTGCCATTTCCTAAGCGCGAAAAATTGTGGCTAAATAAAGTTATATTTTTTCAAGTTTGGGCAACACTCTAAATACATTCCTGTATCCGTCCCTGGATATCATAGGAGAAATCTGATGCC